ACCAGAGCCCAGCCCAGCTCGTCCCAGAGGGATCTGCAGCTCCTGTCCCTGCCTGGATCCCCCTGGGCTGCCACAGCCGAGGTCCCCCGGGCCCGTGGGGTGTCAGCCCTTCCTCCGGCTGCATCCCTCTGTGCATGGAGCCATCCGGCCCCTCTCAGCCTCTTGGGAAACCCTCCCTGATCCAGCCTTTTCGCCAGCAACGTCAAAAGGGTTTTGCAATGAGAGGCAGCTGCCTGATTTTTAATCAAGTTCCTTGGAAAATCAGTTTCCAGCAGGGCTGCCCTTGTCCTGTGCCCCAGCTGGGAGCCTCAGGAGGGGCACCCAGGAGCAGATTTTCATCCTGGTGGAGTCACAGGGGTGCAAGCCAGGGAGCAAAACCCCACAGCAGGAGGAGCATCCCAGTGGGGACCCCGGGAGCCCCTCTGGCTGTCAGTGCATCAGGAATGGGGCGATTCCAGAGGGAATCAGGGCTCCACTGCCCTTCCGTCCCCTCCAACCCCTCTGTGGATGCTCCCGAGCACCCCAATTCCCCGAGCTCCTCTTTCTGCAGCCAGCTCCAGCTCCCAGCAGCCAACCCTGGGATGTGGCAGGTCTCCCGAGTCAGACTTTGCCTCTTGGGAGAGCTCTGCAGTGCCTGCCCTGAGGCGGAAAGACCCAGGGTGGATGATCGGGAGTTTTCAGGGGAGTTCTTGCAATCAAACCCTGTGAGGTGTAAAACACAACCAGCCCTGGCCCAGCTCCTGCCGGGGCTCTGGGCTTTCAAAGAGGGGTCCCAGCTCCTGGGGGGCTCTGGGCTCCCGAGGAGGGTCCCAGCTGAAGGAGGAACCCGGGCAATGGGAGCGGCCGTGCAGGTGCGGAGCTGGAGTCGCTCTGTTCATCCCGGGGCCGCGGGGCAGCGGCTCGGCAGGGAGGGAGGGCCCTGCTGGAAATGTCTGCGGGGTGAAACGCGGAGAAATGAGCGCTGCAGAGGGATGGGGATTGTTGGGATGAAAGGAAACGGCTGGTCAGAGGCTGGGGACACCTCTGGCCCCAGGGGGAGGCGGTGGCTCGGCTGGGAGCTGGGCCACGCTCTGGGATTCAGGGGCTGGCTCTGAGCTCCTGCAGCTCCATAGCCCCAGGGTGGCACCCAGAGCTGGCACATGGGGCCCTTTTGGCCCGGGACAAGGGCCAGGGGGAGCTGGGCGTGCCAGGATGGGGACACTGTGCTGTGGAGTGACAGACCACGGGGTATCTGTGGGGTGCCAGACTGTGGGCATCGCTCCAGGAGAATCAATGGGGAGCCAGCCTGCAGAGCATGGATGGGCACCAATGGAGCGTCAGATCACCGGGCACCTGTGGGGCACCGGGGTACAAATGGGGCATCACCGGGGCACCAGCTCATGGGGCACCAGGTCATGGGACACCAGGGGCATCAGTGGGGTACCAATAGGGTATCAGTGGGGTATCGGTGGGGGATCAGTGGGGTACCAAAGGGTACCAGAGCATATCAAAGGGCACCAATGGGGCACCAAAGGGAACCGACAGGACATCAGAGGGCACTGCTGTGGCACGAGGTGACTCAGTGGGATATCAAGGCCCTAGCTGGGGTCCTACAGGACACCCTAGGGACACCCGGTGCCACCTGGGCACCCGTGTCCCCCGGTGCCACTCGTGTCCCCCGGTGCTGTGGCTGTCACTCGTATCCCCGGTTCTGTCCCTGNCACTGCAGAGGTGGGTTGAGGTGCAGTGATGCTCTTGGAGGGCTGGGGAGGCTGAGGGCACCTGCCCAGTGAGCCTCTTGGTGCCATGGGCTCTGGGCATCTGCTCTCCTGGAATTGCTGTGTGCCCATCAGCCTCTTGGTGCCATGGGCTCTGGGCATCTGCCCTCCTGGAATTGCTGTGTGCCCATCAGCCTCTTGGAGCCTGGGCTCTGGGAATCTGCTCTCCTGGCTGGAATTGCTGTGTGCCCATCAGCCTCTTGGTGCCTGGGCTTTGGGAATCTGCTCTCCTGGAATTGCTGTGTGCCCATCAGCCTCTTGGTGCCTGGGCTCTGGGCATCTGCTCTCCTGGCTGGAGTCGCTGCTGTGCCTGTTCCTGCCCTGCCAGGGGCAGCACGAGGGGCTGACCCTGGCTCAGGCAGAGCTGCCCTGTAGCTGCTGCTCTGTCTCCTTTCACATGGTCACTGTCCTCCAGCTCCCAGGAGATGGGAGGGCAGCACATGAGCCATGCAAAGGGAGAACTGGAGGGGCTGAGGCCAGGCTGGAGGGGCTGGAGCCAGGCTGGCAGCCCCCCTGGATCACCCCCAGCCCCTCTGCAAGCAGCAGCTTTGCAGGGACCTTTGGGAGGTGGGGCCAGGCCTGCTCCCTTTCCAGAGGATATCACTGTCCAGGTGCTGGTTTGGCTGTCAGCGTGGCCTTCTCTCTGCAGAGCTGACCTCTAAACTGACTCCTAGCCCACTGCTTTTTCCTGGCTCCTTTCCCACATCCCAGCTGTCCAGAGCTGGCTGCTCAGCCCCTGCTGACAAGGTTCCTGGTGACAAAGAACACTCTGTCCCACCACGGGGCTTTTTCCAGGCACTTCTCCCCCGTTTTTCAGCAGAGGGGTGCCTGCAGGGTCTGCGTCCCCACTCTCATCCCTGGGGAATGCCTTTGTGTGCCCCTGTCCCACCCAGGGCCTGGCCCTGGCAGCAGGAGCTGGCACCTTGCCCTCTGTTCCTGCTATTCCTGCAGGATGCCCTAAATCCTGTTCCCATCCTGACATGTGCTTTAACATCTCTGCAGTGTCTGGCGGGGGGGAGAAGCCAGCACAGCCCAAGTCCTTCCCTCAGGTTTCCCTCAGCTGCAGAAGCCACCTCAAGGGTTTGGGCTCTTGTCTGGGCTGGGCAGGGCAGATGGGGGCTTTTCTCTCCATGCATCTGTCGGGAGCTCCCCAGCCTGGATCTGTCCTTTCCTGCTCATTGGGAAAACAGGAACAGGCTCTGGCTGCTGGCCAAGGGCCCTCATGGCACAGCTGGAGAGCAGAGCTGTCCCCGACACATCTCTGTGTGTCCCTGTGGGCACAGAGGGCAGGGGGCTGGTACCCCAGGTCTGTGTCTGGCACGGCAAAGCACCAGCAGCTGCATTTGGTGTGAGCCCTGGCCAAGCACCCGGCTTGGGGTCACCAGGCAGGGACACAGCTCAGCTCAGGTGTGCCACACTCCCTGGGCAGGTGTCCTCTGAGGTGAGGCTGTCCCTTACCAGAGGAACAGTTTGAGCCCTGCTCTCCTTTGTCCCTGCCAGGTCCTCTACCACCTGTTTGAGGAGTTTGCCAGCTTCGAGCAGGTGACCATCCTGGACATCATCCTCGGCTTCCTCAGCTTCTTCGTGGTGTCGCTGGGCGGGGTCCTGGTGGGCGTCATCTACGGCGTGATCGCCGCCTTCACGTCACGCTTCACCTCGCACATCCGCGTCATCGAGCCGCTCTTCGTGTTCCTCTACAGCTACATGGCCTACCTGTCTGCCGAGCTCTTCCACCTGTCCGGCATCATGGCGTGAGTGAAACAGGCAGGGAGGGGAGCCCTCCTGTCCCTGGGACTTTGGGGGGTTTGTGACCAGAGTCATGGCCTACCTGTCTGCCGAGCTCTTCCACCTGTCGGGCATCATGGCGTGAGTGAAACGGGCAGGGAGGGGGACCCTCCTGTCCCCAGGGCCTTTGGGGGTTTGGGGGTGTGTGACCAGAGTCCTGGCCTACCTGTCTGCCGAGCTCTTCCACCTGTCCGGCATCATGGCGTGAATGAAACGGGCAGGGAGGGGAGCCCTCCTGTCCCCAGGACCCTCGGGGGGCTTGTGGGGTGTGTGACCACAGTCCTGCCTGGCCCGGCATGGTCAGTGCGTGCCCAGTGAGAGCCAGGGCTGTGTTTGGGCTGCAATATGCAAGGAGGGACACCAGAGAAGTGGGTTTGGGAGTTGTCCCACAGATGTCAGGGTGCTGGCAGCCTGTTCCTGTTCTCCTGGGCACACAGGAGCAGGCAGGGTCTGCTGAGCACTCAGGACACCGTGGGTTTGTGCTCCAGGGCTCACTCCTGCCTGCCAAGGGAAGGACAAACCTCACGTTGCCTTGAGTATTTGCTGGTGGTTCCTAATGCCTGTGCTGCCCTGGAGTTTGGTGTCACAGCACAGAATGCTGCTGCAGGGCCAGGGCCTGGGGCTGTCCCCACGTCCCCATGGCTGCTGAGGGCCCCAACCTCACCCCCAGGCTCATCGCTGCTGGTGTGGTCATGAGGCCCTATGTGGAAGCCAACATCTCCCACAAGTCCCACACCACCATCAAGTATTTCCTCAAGATGTGGAGCAGTGTGAGCGAGACCCTCATCTTCATCTTCCTGGGTGTCTCCACCGTGGCTGGTCACCACTACTGGAACTGGACCTTCGTCATCAGCACGCTCTTCTTCTGCCTCATCGCCAGGGTGTTGGGTGAGTGTCAGTGTGGTGGCAAAGCCCTCAGTGGTAAAAGAATCATGGCATGGTTTGGGTTGGGGGGGACCTTAGAGCCCACCTCATTCCAGCTGCCATGGGCAGGGACACCTTCCACCATACCAGACTGCTCCAAGCACTGTCCAGCCTGGCCAGAGTGGGCACCTGGGTCATGGTGAGCTCTCAGCCATGATGGTTTGCCTTGCAGGGGAGGCTGGAGATGCCTGGGTGGCACTGCTCCGCCGTGGGCATCACCCGTGCTGGTGGGTGGTGCTGGGGAGATGGGGCTGAGGCTGTGGTGGTGCCAGACATGGGGTGGAAGCTGCCATGGGATGTTGAGATGAGCAGACAGCCCTGAGGGGCTGCAGGGTGGGCTCTTTGGGACTGGAGGGGGCCCTTGACCTCTCACCCAGGACTGTGCTGTCCCCCAGGTGTCCTCGTGCTCACCTGGTTCATCAACAAGTTCCGGATCGTGAAGCTGACGCCGAAGGACCAGTTCATCATCGCCTACGGGGGCCTGCGGGGCGCCATCGCCTTCTCGCTGGGCTACCTGCTGGACTACAAGCACTTCGGCATGAGGGACATGTTCCTCACGGCCATCATCACCGTCATCTTCTTCACCGTCTTCGTGCAGGTGGGTGGCACCATCCAGGCCGTGCTTTCTGAGGAGATGGGGGCTCTCATGGCCGTGTGGAGAGTGGGAGCCCATCCCCACTCCATCCCTGGCCCTGTCACTGCCCCCAAAACGCTGCTCAGTGACACCGACAGCGGGTTGGCTTTGCTGTGCCCATCCCACTGCCACCACTGTGCCTTGGGCAGAGATGTAACCTTCCTCCTCCTCCTCCTCCTCCTCGTCCTCCTCCTGCCCAGGGCATGACCATCCGGCCCCTGGTGGATCTGCTGGCTGTGAAGAAGAAGCAGGAGACGAAGCGCTCCATCAACGAGGAGATCCACACGCAGGTAACGCGTGCTGCCTCAGCCCTCTGCTCTCCCTGCTTCTGCCACCTCTGTCACTGGGACCTGCCCCTAGATCAGAGCCCAAGGTAAGGGGGCAGAGCGAGGGCTCTCCCCGTCTGTGTCGTGCAGTGCCCACTCTGACCCACACCCCCAGTGCCTGTAGAGCCAAGCCCGGTTGTGTGGGTCCCTCCTGCCCTCCCACAGCCCTGATTTCACACGCCCTGAGTGCCCTCCCCGTGTGTCAGTGTGGGTGTCTGGGGAGGGAAGGGCTGGGCAGGAGCCCTCCGAGCTGCTCATGCCTTGCACCATCTCTTGCAGTTCTTGGATCACCTTCTGACGGGGATCGAGGATATCTGTGGTCACTATGGGCATCACCACTGGAAGGACAAGTGAGTGGCGAGGTTTGGTGGCTGGGGAAGGGTTTCAGTCACCACCCAGAAGGTTTCACAGCTCTGTGGGAGAGGGAAATGGGGAGTGGGAGTGGGCCGGGGCCAGGGCTGAGCTGAGTCTGCCCGTCCTGTGCCCCGTTCTGGGAAGGCTGAACCGCTTCAACAAGAAGTACGTGAAGAAGTGCCTGATCGCGGGGGAGCGCTCCAAGGAGCCCCAGCTCATCGCCTTCTACCACAAGATGGAGATGAAGCAGGCCATCGAGCTGGTGGAGAGCGGGGGCATCGGCAAGATCCCCTCTGCCGTCTCCACCGTCTCCATCCAGTGAGTTCCCTGCCCTGGGCACCTCCCTGGCACCCTGAGTGCTCCCTGCCCCTTGGGTGCTGCGTGGCCAGGGTGGTCTGTGCCTCTGAACCCCGTCTGTCCGTGCAGGAACATCAACCCCCAGACCCTCCCTCTGGAGCGCGTCCTGCCAGCCCTGTCCAAGGACAAGGAGGAGGAGATCCGGAAAATCCTGCGCACGAACCTGCAGAAAACCAGGCAGAGGGTGAGGTGTCCCCTGGCACTGTGCGTGTCCTCGTTGGGCCAGGGTGGATCAGGATCAGGCGTCCCGTGGTGGCACACAAGGGATGAGCCACGAGCCTGCCTGGGCCTGCTCTGCCCACTGGTGGCTGTCCCATCCATCTCCAGGACAAATGGGCCTGTGACCTTTCTCTCCCTCTCCATGAGGGATTTTAACCTGTCTCCTTTTCCGGGATCTGTTCCCAGCTGCGCTCCTACAACCGGCACACGCTGGTGGCTGACCCCTACGAGGAGGCCTGGAACCAGATGCTCCTGAGGAGGCAGAAGGCCCGGCAGCTGGAGCAGAAGGTGCTGGGGAACACCAGGGTGGGCAGGACGGGGGCCAGGGGGGCTTCCCAGCCTGGGAGGGGGCTGAGGTTCAGATGACAGAGGGTGACCCCGTGACAGAGGGTGACCCCAGATCTGTGCCCATGTCCTCTGCGTCCCACTGCTGCTCCCTGCCCATCCCTGTGCCCAATCCCCTGTCCATCCCTGTGCCCAGTTCCCTGCCCATCCCTGTGCCGTTCCCTGCCCATCCCTGTGCCGTTCCCTGTCCATCCCTGTGCCCAGTTCCCTGCCCATCCCTGTGCCGTTCTCTGCCCATCCCTGTGCCCAGTTCCCCTCCTGCCCTGGCCCCTCTGCTGACAGTGCCTCGCTCCCGTTGCAGATGAACAACTACCTGACGGTGCCGGCGCACAAGGTGGACTCGCCCACCATGTCCCGGGCTCGCATCGGCTCAGGTAGGTGGGAAGGGCAGCCGAGGAGCGCCCTGGGAGCTGCCCTGCACTTCCTCAGCTCCCCGCGGCTCTCCAGCCCCTTTGTCCCCACCCCAGGCCCATCCAGCCCGGCCCGAGGGTTGCTGCTCCGAGCAGAGGCACCCAGCTGGCTCCCAGCACAATTCCCTGCCAAGGCAGGTTGGGCAGTCCCTCTGGAGCCCAGCTCGCTCCATCCACGCTGCCACATCTGTGTCTGTGCCCCTCCCGGGGCGGGCATCAGGAGCGCTTAGCCCCAGGACCTGTTGCCAGTGCGTTCCCAATTGTCCCTGGCACATTGGCTTTGGCACCCTGGGTTCCCCCTGTCCGGACCTGTTGCCAGTGCGTTCCCGGTTTGTCCGTGGCACATTGGCTTTGGCACCCTGGGTTCCCACCAGACCTGTTGCCAGTGCGTTCCCGGTTTGTCCGTGGCACATTGGCTTTGGCACCCTGGGTTCCCCCTGTCCTGTGCGTCCCTCCCGCTCCGGGGACGGG